TATATATAGTTTGAATATTTAAGTAATTGAACAACCCATGATTCCAAATAATCTAATAAAATGAATGAACAAACCCATGATTCCAATAATGAATAAAACAAATAAAACAATAAAATGAATAAAACGAATAATTCAAATAAAAAAACATATAATTCGAATAAATTTTTTTTAATTCGATTAAAGTTTTTAAATTCGAATTAAAGATCAACTGTATTACGAATAGAAGCCCTAGTCATCAGTCTTAATTAATGCTGGGCTGACACAATAAATATAATAGCATATTTTTCCGCGACCACAACATATTAATATTAATATTTTTAGGCGTATTTAGAAATTAATTGGCGATTTTCGCGGGAAATAATTTTGAATTTCCACCTGAGCTTCTAACTGAAATATTCAATTACATTAAAGATGATTTTATAAAACAACATATTCTTGTACTCTTGTCAACAAACAATGGCACAATACCAATATTCCGATTTTATGAAGAAATCCATTTTATTCTTTTAGCAGCATTAAATATTAATTAATTGTTTATTGAAAGAGGATAAGTATTTCTTAACTGGAGTCAAAATAACTTTTGAACTATTGGAGAAACCACCATTATACAATTATGCTGGATTTTGTACTATAATTTTCAATCGTTATGGCATCCAATGTCTGATAAAACATAATAAATTAGAAAACTTAGTACTAATTATATAGATTGTAATTTTTTAATTATTCATTATAGATTTGATAATTGTTTTCAGAATCTTTATGAAATAGAATGTTATTATGGTGATGAATTTTTTGCTAAATTAACAAATATTTGTAAAACTATTCAATCATTAAAATAATTTTATCAATTATGTACGCCTGATTACGAAATGAGTCATGCTAAAATTTACATTATGCATGTCGTTCCAAAATTTCCAGATAGAAATCTTGAATGTTTCATAGTTAGACATACAATAAAGCTCTGAAATATATATTTAGTCATAATAGCTCTACGCAAGGGGTTTTTATTAGATCACTATGCAAAGTTAGTACCTTGATCAGATAATTGGGAGAACTAATCCTCTGACCTTTGATCACATGTGATTTTGGGCTAATCCAGCTTTCAACGCAAACCATTTTTTATAAGCGAAACGAAACAAATAAATTAATTTTGTATATACGTTAAGAATTAAAAAATATATACTGTATTGTATTAAACATTGATGTAAAAATTTCTATAGTTAATATTTATGTTAATGTCGCAATCTCAATAATTGTTTCAATTATATCCTTTCGGCCAAAGTAATCAAAATAATATTGCTTTTCATTTCCTCAATTAATACATTAGTCGGTCCAATGTGATAAACAATATTAGAAGCAAGGTGATGAGTCAAAATATTAACATGTAAAAATATATAAGATATATCATCCAAATCAATGAATAATAAATAACGAACAAGTTTACAACTGAGAACGCAATGCGAGCTTTTGCTTTTTATGTATCACACAATCGTGCACGCCGTGCTATGAGAGAA